TTTTAATAGATTCGTTTCCCTTATTATTGGACAATATAAATTACAATCTTGTTTGTCTTTATTTTAGGTATTAATTAAAAACCATTGTATTTTTTAAAAATTATAATATCATCGTAATCTCTTTTATTTTTTGAGAATTTTTAAATGTTTTAAGAATTTTTAATGTCTAATTTATTTCATTAGAAAAAATAATATAAAACATAGAAGAAATGGAAAATTTTAAATATATAATGTTTTTAAAAAGATGAAAAAATATTAAACATAAAATTGTCTATTACATTATCATTAATATTTATAAAAACATTTTAAAATTATTTTCTTTATTAATGTTAAAAAGAAAACGAATAGAAGCAAAAACAAAAAGATCTATGAAAAATAAAAATCTTATTTCAATTATTTATATTTTAATGATTAAAAAAAAGGAATAAAAAATTAACACAAATAAAATTTAAGAAATAAACTTTAAAAAATAAAAATTGAAAGAGATAAAGGAAAAACAGAGAGTGTAATTTATAGACTCTATGTAGTTTGTTTGGAAAACAATCAAAAAGCATTTAATTCAAATTGCCAAAAAAGGAATTCGTACTGATATTCCAACAATTATATTAATGCATTAAACATTATTTCGAATTATGTTAACAATTTTTAGTATATCATGCATGCTTCATGACATTTCAATATATATTAAAATTTGATATTAATAATTAATTTTATATAAAATTACAATTATTATATTAAAATTTCGTCTATGATACAGCTTGTAATCATATAATTATTTCATAAATATCATAACATCATTATTTATATTCTATTAATGTAAACATATAATAACAGCAGATAATACGTATAACAGATGAATTAATCAAAAAATTACTTCTTTATGAATTGCGATAGGCTTGATATCTTCATAATTTCATATCGAGCTTACCAAGCATTTTATAGAAATCATTAAATTGTTATTAATAAATTTTCATAGAGAACTTAAGTTTCTATGGATCCTTCGAATTCGCAAAATACGAAGATAAAATAATCTTTAAACGGCCGAAGTTAAAATGATAGTTATTATGATAATTAATGATAATTATTGTTAATAATGAATATATATATATATTTATTATAAATAAATGATATTTATTTAGTGTTTATTTGTTATTATGATAATCAAGAATTGTTTTATATTATTTTAACATTCTACAAATCCGCAAATCTATGAAATGCTCAAGTTTTCTAAAGATACCAAATATTAACTAATTAGTTATTATAATTGCATAATGTGTTAAAATAATTGAATAAAAATAATTGAAATGGCAATCGTATTCTGTACTTTGTTGCTTCGGATGTATTATGTACATATAAATAAAATTCCATAATAGTTGCAATTTTTTATTATAAATATCTCGAAAAATAAGATCGAACACTGATTATATGTAAAGAAAAAATGTTATTTACTCTTTCTCTATAACATATTTAAAAATAATCAAAATTTAAAAAATAACTTTTCTGTAATTTTAATATCTGTTATATGTAATATATATATATAATATATTATATAGTTTAGAATCTTTATGACAAACGACTCAAAGTTATAACATGCTTTAGAAAATAGAGATTATTTCTATTGTTTCTAAAAAATTTAATCACAGAATAAAGAAAATAATAGAGAGTTATCTTTTATACAATGATTTTCATTGATTATTTGACATTTATTTTAGAACTGATAAAGAATAAAACCGACAAGTGAAAAATTAAAATTTCAAATATTGCACTCATTTATGTTTTATTGCAAAAGCATATTCAATAGAAAGACTATATAAAACAATACTAATGTAATGTTAGTTATTCGCTTCTAATGTTCTAATTAGCGTTTATAAAAATTGGAGTAAATTTTTAAATAAATTTTTTTCTACATACATTAGTATAAATAATATAAATATATATAATAACAAAAATATTTTAAATTTTGTTTATTAAATAGCTTATTACAACAGTATATTTTTATATAATTTGAGATGCTTAAAGATTTCAAAAGTTAAAATCAACATTCGAAATTAATAAATAAAAATTATAAATTATATATATTTTTTATAATCTAAATTTTATTTTTAGTAAGTATATTTTTATATAATTTGAGATGCTTAAAGATTTCAAAAGTTAAAATCAACATTCGAAATTAATAAATAAAAATTATAAATTTATATATATTTTTTTATAATCTAAATTTTAAAAGTCAAAATCAATATTCGAAATTAATAAATTAAAATTATAAATTTATATATATTTTTTCATAATCTAAATTTCTTATCTAAGTTTTTCTTATTTGAATAAGATTTAAATTGTTCTTTTGTTGTTAATAAAACAATTTTTATATTTTGTGTAAACATAAATATATTATAATTAATCTTTAATAAATTAAAAAATCTTGAGTTATTATTAAAATGTGAAAGAGATATAATTAATATTCGATATACAATACCAAAACTTTCATGATATTGTATTATTTTATTATTACTAAGTTGCTAATAATATTTTTTTTAATTAATTATACTTATCAATCAACACAATCAATCTATACAAGTTTTAGATAAAAACATACATGTTAAAAAAACATTAAAATATTTCAATTATTATTACATTATCTTTATTTATTTAATCAGATAGTTGAATAGTTAGAATATATACATATTACATATATATGTATATACATATGTAATATGTATATACATATATCTTATTAGATATAATTTTTACAATCATATTTTGTTTATATAATTTATTAAAAATAAAAAATTGAAAAATTGGACTATTCTTCTCCAATTTCTTCTAATCAAAAAAATGATGATTATATACTTTGATAAAGTAAAAATTTGACTTTACCATTTAAGATTTTATTATCACTTTTGTTTCAATTATTTTATTTTGTTCATATTATCTTATTATTATTTAATAAATTTTAATTATAGTTAATAAATTTAATGTGATTTTTATTTTAATTTCTTTACTATTTTCAAATTTTTTGAATAATGTATTTTTTTAGAAATATTGACATGTAAAATATACACAATAATAAAATTTTCGAAAAAACTGATATTAGAGATTATTATTGAATAATTACTAAAAGAATTTGTAATGAAAATTATATTATATTTGATTTTATTTTTTCTTTCTTTTGTCATAGGTTAATTTTATTTAAAGTTTCGATTTTAAGGTAATAATTACATGCTTCGAATTTCATGCTAATTTGAATGCTTTGAAATATTTAAAAAAATAAAAAATAAATATCAATAACGAAAATCAATTAAAATGATTTTTATTATTATAAAAAGTTTTTTTAAAACATATACATTATTTTGTATGTAAATAAGTATTTCTGTTAAAATTATATTATTTTTAAGACATCTAAGTTTTTTATTTAGAAAATATTCACGAAAAAACAGTTATAAATAATTATATTTTCTCTATTTTTGACAATAGATAAACTAAATGGGGACAAGAATATTTTCTTTCATGAGACATCTTGTTTTGATAAAAATGGTTTGATACTGAATGCTCGTCAAGCATGCGCCATTGAATCCGCAGCTAAAATGAATTCAAATATGAACGTGTATTTGCTATTCCTTTCTCCTTCTAAAATCTCAAAACAATCAAAAAAAATATTTGAACAATTACAAACTTATCCGAATATTCGTATCAGACGTATTAAATTTAAAAATTATATAAAAAAAACACCTTTGGATGTATGGTATAAAACCGATATATTAAAGAAAAGTAAATGGCCAAGAATTCAAATGGCTGATATTCTGAGATTTCTAACACTTTGGAAATACGGAGGAATATATTTAGATCTGGATGTTGTTATTATGAGGTAAGAATATTTTCATATATTTTGCAATTTGTTGCTACATAAATATATGTGATCTTGAGGATTCAAATTCCAGATAAATTGAAAAAATTCAAGTGGAATTGGGCGAATTCGCGATTACTTAATATTCTAAAAATTTTAAGATTTCAAAACTATATCCCGAATCGAAATTGAAATAATTTGCTTTTGTTTTCAAAAAATTTCCAATTTATAAATTTTGAATATACTAAATGAATATTTGTTTTTATGAAATTTTTATAAAATAATTATTATTAAAAATTTCTATAAAAAATATCTTTATGTAATAGATATTTTAGAATCTATATAATAAAATTTTTATGACAATAAATTATTTCAAAACATTTAAAAAAGATTTTATAAAATAAATAAAAGTATTAAACTTAGATTAAACTAATTTTATTTAATATTATATAATATAATATTACATAACAATATATAATAATATAACATTATATAATATTGTATAATATATTTACATAAAATATATAATAGATATTATTTAATATTATGAATATTAATATAATATTATTCAATGAATAAGATTTAATGTTTATTGCAATGTTAAGAATTTTTTTAATATTGATAAAGTAATATCTGTAATGAGAAAAATTTTTTATTTTAATTTTAATTCTAATCGTTCAAACTAAAAATTTTATTTTCAAGAACTTGTTTTTATTTGTTCCAAACTTATAATATAAGAACTTTTTTAAGAAAGTTTTACTACTTATAATATAAAATAGAATTTATAAAGAAATTCCATAACTATTTTGAACTCTGATTTTAAAATACGATTCTGTAAAAACAAATATATCGGCATATAATCGGCTATTAATTTAGATAATTAAAATTTAGCTATTAAGAGATAAAAGAGAAATGAAAATAATACTTGAATATGTTAATTCAAATTCAAAATTTCATCTTTAATTTATAATGACATCTCTGAGATGTTAGGAATTTTTAATAAAGCTAAAAAACGTCATACTGAATAACATTGAAAAGAAGAAGATATTGATTTTGAAAGCTATTTCAAATTGTTATCACAAATTTTATTGTTATATAATTTTATATATAAAAATGTCGATATTTCTAAATATTTATCTTTTATAAATTTTATACTTTACTGATTCATATACGGAATAAAATTAAAATTATATAAGTTATAAAAAAAATAATTAAAAATTATTATTAACTTCAAGTAATATAAAAATATTATGATTTCACACGATTCTGCCCGAATTTTTTCAACTCATCTCGAAGCTATAATGCTATATATTATTATTGTTAGAATAAAGTATATAAAATAATCAATTATGTTCAAAAATTTAAGTAATCGATTTTATTAAAATAAAGCAAAAATTAAGATAAAAATAAAAAAATTGCATTTTCAATTTTATTTTTTCTTTATTTATAATTAAAAGTTTGCGACAAGTTAAAACATCATAAATATATAGAGAAGAATTTCAAATTTCAAAGTGATTTTGAAATAATTATAGTACTTTTTCGTAGATTTTATTTATAATATAAACTGTGAAATTTTTTTAAAAATTCTTACATAAATTATAAATTATAAATTTCGATAAAAAAAAATAAAAAGAAATTTTAGAAATAAAAGTTTTAATTTAGAAATAATAAAAAATAAATATAATTTATTTCTAATCTAAAATATAAAAAAAAAATTTATAAAAACAGATAAAAATATAGAAACAGATTTTTTATTCGTCAATATTAAAACAAGTTTTCATAATTATATTAAATATTGAATTATTCAAAGCAAATAACAATATAGTAGATATATATTAAAATTATATTTATTATATAACATTAAGTTAAATTTTTTCTATATAAATATAATAATATTTATTATAATGTCGAATGAAATTAAAATCTAATTTTGCTATATATCATATAGAACGTTTCTTATATCTAAATATTAAGTATAAAAATTAAGTTCCAAACAAATTTATTTCCATTTGTACAAAATTTGTAATATCTGTTTCATAAAAGTATTTTTTAAAAATGTTTCTGATGATAATGCAAACAAATATTCTCTAAAATTAAAAGTATTAATAATAATTTCGAAATCAGAATTATTTTAGAAACAAAAAAAGATTGTTTATTTTAATCTTTATTTTTTATTTTATATAAAATAAAATATAAATGTCCTATATGTTATTTAATTTTAAAATGATTAGCTATTTGTACCAGCCTATATTCGTTTATTTAAAAAAGTTTGTTGAAGTTCAGAGATATTTTTTTTCAATTTTGTCAATAAAATAGAACCAAAAATGCAATGTTTTTATTTTTGATTATCGTCTTAATTTAAAAAATCACCTCTTCAATTCTTGAATACTTTTAGTCTAACAATTAGTAGTATTAGAACATTGTAAATTTCATAACAAATATTAATAACAAAAATTTATTCGTTGATGTTATTTTACTCTTATAAATAAATAATAATTATTAAATATTATTAAATAATAATTATTAAATATTCTAATTATAAATTAATAATTAGAACAACAATAATATTAATAATTAGATATTAAAACAATGTTTTACATTATTTTTTAAAAGTGACAATATTTTTATTAATTTGTTAAAATAATAATAAATTTATTATTTGCAAATATAATATATAGAATATATTAATATTATACGAAATATTTTTAAAGATATCATAATATATCTTTTTATTATATTATTTATTTTATATTATTATATTTTTTTAAATTAAATGGATCAAAATTTTATGTGTAAATAATAATAAAGAAAATTGTAATCTCTGATAAATTATAAATTTTATATTTACAACATGACTTCTAAATAATTTATTGTATAAAATATTTATTTTGACAGATCCATTGAACATTTAACAAATTTCGCTGGTGCTGAGGATTGGTATCAAGTGGCTGCTGGTATTTTAGGATTTGACACTTCAAAATTGGGTCGTCACATTGTCAATGAGTGTATTCACGAAATACGAAATAATTTTCGAGGTGATATCTGGGGTTACAATGGTCCCGGTGTAATTACCAGAGTGTTACAACGAATTTGTTTAACGGAAAATGTAATGTATATAATATTATATTACAAATTATTTTTTTTAAATGATACTCGATACAAATTTTAATTTACACAGTAATACATTAACAATAAAAAAATCTATTTTTTAAAAATATCATAATGGAACAAAGATAATGAAATTATTTAGAAAAAGATATATCTCATCAATTTCAACGACTTCTAAATATATTGCAAGAGATTTTGAAAAATTGTTTCCTATATATATGAAATAACTACTCAGCTATAATTTTTCAGATATTTGTAAAAAAAAGATTGTTATTACAATATAAAATTTCGCTTATGTCTATGCATCCGTATAAATACGTTTGAGACCACCATTTATCGAAAAGCTATTTCCCCACAAGTTATGATAATTGAAATATTTCAATCTATACATTCCATAGAAATTATTATATTTAATATATTTATTTTATAAAGAACTTGAACACTTATATAAAATTATTTTGTTATTTTTCGAATCTTTTAGATAAAAACTTAAGCTTAAAGCTAAAAAAAAATAGATTTTAAAAATAGATAAATATAAATTTTTTTTATATCAAATGATATAAGATATAACAAATAAATTTATTTTGAAACAATAATTATATAAAAAATAGTATTTTAAATATGCATTAATGCATAAATATATTTTAATACTAACCCATAAAATTAAATATTTTCTTGAAATATAAGATAAAAGTAATTCAAATAACAATATTCCATCATTTATATTCTAATAATAGAATTTTAAATAATAATATTTCAAATAATAATTAAGCAAAATAAACTTTTTAACATTATATACATATAGATATACTTTTATTAATAACATAA